CAATACGGGTGCACTTACCCACATGCAGGCAATATACGCATACACATAAAATAAAAATAATAAATAAATTTAAAAAATATGCCTTGCTGGGCGTGGTGGCACACGCCTTTAGTCCCAGCACTTGGGAGGCAGAGGCAGGTGGATATCTGTGAGTTCAAGGCCAGCCTGGTCTGCATAGTGAGTTCCAGAACAGCTGGGGCTACAGGGAGACCCTGCTTCAAAAAGACTATATATATATATATATATACACATGCCCTGGAGATGGGGCATAACTCATGGGTGGAGTATTCCCCTAGAATGTACGAGGCCCTGGGTTCAATCCTCAGCAAGAGAGAAACAAAAAAGGAAAAGTATACACGATTGATGGATGAAACAATACCATGTGTACAATGTACAATTAAGACAACAGATGGATGTAACTGTGTTCCATGGAAACTTTTGTGACTAATATACACACCAATTTGAGCAGAAACTCAAGAACAAGATTACCATCAAATATCAGAGACAAATACAAAAAAGATTCTTTATTTCAAAACTTAATAGATTTGTTTCAAAGGCTCAAGGTATTAAGTCGTAAGCTACTTATGCTGCTGACTGTGCCTTTATAAAATGAAGTGCTCCAGTAAACCAAACAGACTGCCATAGATTAACAGTTTACATTCTAGATTAAACATTCCAAGTAACATTTTCTGAAAATTTTGAAGAAATCTGCTTCTATATTCTTACTATTCTAACTATGCTTATTTTAAAATAGCATACAAGGCCGGGTGTGGTGTCGCATGTCTTTAATCCCAGTACTTGGAAGGCAGAGGCAGGTGGATCTCTGTGAGTTCAAGGCCAGCCTGGTCTACACAGTGAGTTCCAGGACAGCTAGGGCTACAGAGAGACCCTGTCTCAGAAAAAAAAAAGAAAAAACATACCATACAAATTAAATGTTTAAATTATTATCACATTACAGGCAAATAACAGAGGCAGGCACAGTGACACATATCTGTAATTCCAGCACTCAGAAGGCAAAGCAAGAAGAGTAGTTTGAGACCAAACTGGGCTACCTAGCAAATTCTAGGCCAGCTGACAGATCTCAAAAAGTGGGGCTGGGTGTGGTGGTACACACCTTTAATCCCAGCACTCAGGAGGCAGAGGCAGGTGGGTGTCTGTACATTCAAGACTAGCCTGGTCTACATAGGGAGTTCCAAGCCGCCAGGGTTACATAGAGAGACTCTATCTCAAAGAATAAATAAAAATTAAAAATAAAAGGCAAATACATAATTCCAAATGAAAATGTTGGTAGAGTGCATCCTAGGCCAGAGGTTCAAATTCCTAGACACACCCAGCACTTGGGAGGCAGAGGCAGGCGGATCTCTGTGAGTTCAAGGCTAGCCTGGTCTACATGGTGAGTTCCAGGACAGCTGGGGCTACAGGGAGACCCTGTCTTAAAAATAACAACAACAACAAAAAAAAATCAAAGACTCCCCCTAGAAAAGAATAAAATAACAAAGGATTTAACAAGCTCCCAGGAGGTTTTGGTTACTAGACCACCCTTTAAATAACAAAGACTTTGGAATAATCATCTGAGATAGTTTAAATGTTGTGTCCCTCCAAACTTTGATTTATCTCCAATGCAACTGATTTCAAAATATGATTTCTGCCATTTTTTTCTTTATAAATCCCCAGTCTAAGTAACCTTTCTCTTTTTTTGTATATGTGTGTGTACTTGTTCATGTGTGCACATGAATGCAGAAAAGGCCAACATCAGCTGTCTTTCTCAATTCAGTTGTTCTCTACCTTAAGTTTTTGAGAGGAGTCTCTCACTGAACCTGGACCTCCCCAATTCAGCTGAACTGTCTGGCCAACGAGCTCCAGGGATCTGCCCATCTCTGCCTTTCCTGCCTACTCCCAGTGTTAACAGTCCAAAGAAAAGTCTTTGGAATGTTGGGTCAGAGATTTTAGATCAGCTCTCCAGCAATTATTCTTTACTTTTAAAAAGCATTTAAACTGAGGATGCAGTTCAGTGGGAAAGGGCTTGCCTAGCACATATGAAACCCTAGGTGTGATTGAAAAAAAACAGCAAAAAATAAAAAGGATTTAACCCACAATTCAGTCCATCTTGTCTTTAATACACTGTGTACAATCTGAGTTAAAAACCTAAGAAAGTCAAGTTCCATCCAATCAGCAGCACCAAAATAGCACATTCAATACCATGGCAAAATTCCATCTTTGGAGAGAACTAGCAATGTGCTGGCAGTCTGTCTATCACAGTGTGTCAGGAAAAATGTACCACACTTCCCACACGCTGTTTCTTCCACTTCAGAGAAGCAGCCAAGTACAGGATAGAAGCCAGTTTCAAGGTCAAAGCCTGGATTCAAAACCAGCCTGAACCAGGTGCAGTGTGAGCACCAGTAGTCCAGGCTACTAAGCAAACAATTGAGGCAGAAACATCACCTAAGCCCAAGAGCTGGAGACCAGCCTGGGGCAACATGCTGAGACCTTGTGTCAAAAAACAAACCACTTGGTCAGCTTATTCTTATTTGTTACTTTGTGTTGTACTTATTCGTGTGTGTGTGTGTGTGTGTGTGTGTGTGTGTGTATATATATAGAGATCAATATCAAGTGTTTTCCTCTCAATTCCTCACCACTTTATTTTTTGAGACACAGTCTCTCACTGAACCCGGAAGCTTGCAGAATTCAGCTAGGCTGGCTGATCAGCAAATCACAAGGATCCTCCTGTGTCTCCTTCTCGAGTGCTGGGATTACAAGCACCTGCCACTACACCCAGCGTTTACATGGACAAAACTCAAGTCCTCATACTTGCATGGGAAACAGTCTACCAATGAGATATCTCTCCTGCCCCCACTATTTTCATTTTATTTGGTAGTGGTGGTGGTGGTGGTGGTAGTAGTAGTAGTCGTAGTAGTAGTAGTAGTAGTCGTAGTAGTACTGGGTGTATTAGTGCACTTGGTGGAGTTACTTCCCTCCATCTCCCTTTACATGGGATCCAAGGATCAGCTTCAAGTCACCAGGCTTTTTGTGGCAAGTACCTTTACCTATTGAGCCATCTTGCCACCCTCTACCTTTATTTGAGACAGGTTTCATTGTGTAGCTCAGGCTGGCCTCAAATTCAGAAACCTCCTGCTTCAGCATTTCAAGTGCTAAGATTACAGATGTCACCATACTCGGCTCTCCCTTATGTATATTCTTATGTTGTGCCTCTCAGATCATCTTATCTCCCTCAAGGAGGCAGATGCAATTATTATTTTAACCAAGTTTCTTGGTTTGGATTGGACCCTCCTAACTCCCTCTCCTCAATGCCAAATGGCACACCCCAGATAAGAGCTGCTTGTTCAATATTACTTTAACAGTATGAAATTCAGAAACAACATAAAAATATTTAACAATTATTAACAATAATTACGATGACACAAGGAAACACAAAGTAAAATAAAAAAAGCATGACGACGATTACAACTATGGGAAACTGCAACATACACACGCACCGAAGAATAAAGACTTGTAAGAAAGTAGAATTCAAAACAGGGTCAAGATTCTGCTGGAATTATTATTTTGTCCTCTAAGAATGGTAGGGTTATATTGCTTGACTATACATGTTCTGTTCTTAACATTCAAAATGCGACACAGGACTTTGTTAAATACAGTTTTAGCCAGTGTAACCTGTGAGCATACCTTGGCAAAAGTGCAAATACCACACCTTGGAGTTTTCTTCTTTATTGTGCAATAAAACTTCAGGGGCATCAGTTACTAGCAGCATGACCTTGTATAAGTTAACAACTCTGTGCATTTCCTCATCCATAAAAGGATTTAGTATCTACTTCTTGACCTACTTAACACATTAAATAACATGATATATATAGAGAGAGCACCTGACTCATAGGCCTTCAATAAAAGCACCTTACATTCTTTAGAGCCAATATCACAGAACAGATGTGATTATATCTCTTATAGGAAAGACGACATCCATGAGGCATTAACTAAAGATAATATTCAAGTCTTGGTGGTTCTCATACTCAGACAGGTGGGACTGTAACAACACAGACCACTTTTAAGCACCCTCCTGATTATAGCTGGTAATCCAGGATGATCTCTTTTTAAATAAGCCAAGTATGAATCTTCACTTTGCCATATAACACATGTTCACAAGTTTGAGAGATCAAGATGAACTTACCTTTGGAAGGCCATTATTATACTTACTTCATATAAAGTAATTCAGCACTTAAAACTGGCTGAACCTTACATGAAGTACCATGTAAGCGCCCCCTCTTTTCTTAGACTTGAATATTACTGTAATCTCAACTCTAATGAAGCTGAGGCATGAGAATCTTGAATCGGAGACCAGCCCGAGCTACATAGGTAGGTAAACCAGTCTGGGTTAACATAGTGAGACCCTATCTGGAAGGGGAAAAAAAAGGAAAGAAAAAACACTTACCTACAGGGACTATGCTTATGTTTGCCCTCATATATTCAGCACTGACCAAAGGCCAAGTCCACAGAAATGAACCTGACTGACACCATTTCTGTCCACAAGGAACTCAGTTACTACAGACAGAGACAAAGTGCAATAATGGCATGGGAATCAGGGCTAGCAAAAGGACCTTCAAATTTTATGGAACTACAATTGAGGTTTACGGTAGAAGCCTCCATAAAAGGGTATGTGGGCTAGAGTGTTTATAAAAGAAGCAGTAGGTGGAAGAAGGATGCTGTTCTCTGGAGGGAGAAGGGCTATATTTTAACACCGAAGAAATATCTATCCTTCATTTTGAGGGGGGCGGGGTCCTCGTTCAAAACTGTAGAAGTACTGGGCACTGGTGGTACATGCCTGTAACCCTAACACTAAGGAGGCTGAGGCAGGAAGACCATGAGATTGAGTCAAGCCTGGGCTATAGAGATGTCTCATAGAAAACAAAACTGAACGAAACAAAATTGTACAAGTAACTGCACAAATCAGAGTTTAAACCAAGACTAAGTAGCCTTAGTGGTGCTCTTACCTTGAAGCAGTTCTTGCCACCTTCTCTAAGGCAGTTTCACTTCCTGAGCTGCACCTTTAAAAGAGAAACATTTGGTAAGATGGTTCCACTGTCCCTTCAATGGCATCAAGGAAGCACTTGTAAGTTGAATAGTGTCCAGCAGGACTACCAAAACAAAACAACAAAAAAGTGAGGTATGGATGACAGTCAAGGTATATAGAATTAAAATACCCTTGAGCCATTTTCACATCTTGCTTTTGACAGTGACAGCCACAACAAACATGTTTTTATAGCTCTTGAGTTTAGAAAGAGACTTCACACACGAAGAGGTTCTACTTGAATCCCACAACAGACTCTTACTACATTCTATCCATTTTCGAACTGATGAAACTGAGGCTTTTAGAAGTGGATGATCTGCTCAGAGCCCCAAAGCAGATGAATAACAACCATGAGACTCAAATCTGGGAAATTAGGATTCACAATTACTCTTTCTTTTTGCTTGGGTTCAAGTTGTTTCTTTTCTTAATATTTTATTTATTACTTTATGTGTATGAATGTATTGCCTGCATGTTAGTGCATCCATGTTATGCAATGCCTGCAGGTCAGAGGACACAATCAGATTCCCCTGGGGATGGAGTTACAGATGGTTGGGAATCTAAGCCAGGTCCTCTGCAAGAGCAGCCTGTATTCATAACTGCTGAGCCCTCTCCAGCCCCTCAAGATGTTCTTTAAGACACTGACACACTATATCTCGCTTTCTCATTAAGTGTCACAAACACACAAAATAGAAATGAATCAGAAAGAAATTTGCATGCTTATATCCTTTAACTTTCATGCTGCCCATCTAGTTTATTGAAATGCAAGAACAACTTTAATTTCCAAATGAATGAGTCACTGAATCCTAAGGGCATAGACAGGATTTGAATCAATTCATCATATGACCTACAAGGATGTATGTCTCAAAGATGGGAACTGAAAAATTCCTTTCAGTCTTCAGTGTAACACAGTGCATTATTTACTATTTACATGAACGTGTGGTGATACTGTTGTAAACAAACCACTGGCTTCCAGTCATATAAAAATATAGCACACAGAGCTATGTACATAAAGTGTGGCTATAACACCTTGCTATTCGTAAGTTACACTATGTTTGCCCAATTACAAAATTACCTAATGACACATTTGTCGGAATTTACCTACTTCATAAGGTAGCAATGCATGGGTATTGTACTGAATGTATTAGAATACAGAATTAAGAATTTAAGAATTGAATGTAATAGAATTAAGAAACTAAGAATAAAAAAATAACTCTAGCAAAAGTATGTAAACAAATCCAAAGTGTGTACATTAAAGATAAGAGCATCACTTAGTAGCCCTAGAATGTAACCTAGCAACCTGAGTGTAACTATATGATTAGCCAAATGACGTAAGCAACTGATAAACATATGTTCGCCAAGCCATGCCTAAGGACTATAAAAACCCAGAGGAAGATCAGTTCCAGGGCGCACATATGAGCTGAACTCCCGTCAGCTGTGCGGCCCCATCTTCTGACTGATCCCGACTCTGGACCGTGAGAAAAAAGAGGAACTTCACGTCGCGAACATCCGAACCTGACTCGACCCTCAACCGTGAGACAACCAAGCTGAGCTGAGACTACCGTCACCCCATCTGACAGAGATGACGTCACTCGGGCATTGGCCCTAGGACCAGTACTCTTATCTGTCATTGTGTTATGTGTGAAATTTGTTTATGATTCCCCAAATAAATGCATTGAAAGACATTGGCTCTAGAAATATTTATCCTCCCTCGCATAACGAGGTGATGCTCAACTAAGCCTTAAGAACTCCCCGCAACAGGTATCAATGTCCTGATATCAGGGTAAGAAGCAGCAGCCCCTTCTAGGACAAATGGCATATGGGAAGCAGAGGCAAATACTGGGAACACAGGGCCTCCACCAGCCCTGTCTTTACCATCAAATAATAGAACAGAATTACCAGGTATGGTATCATGTATTTGGTAAGCTGAGCCAAGAGTTTGAAGCCAACCAGGACTGCATAGCAAGAGCCTATCTTAAAACACAAAACAATAATTGGTCCTTAACAACGAAATGGTTCAAATTTAGGTATAATTTGAGGGGCTTCTCGGGTTTACACATGTGCAAGCCATATGCATACTGCCTGTTAGTGGTACTGGAATTCTCTGGAGTACATTCACCTCCCAAATGGGAGGGCTTGTAATAACAGTCATAGCTCAACTTTTACTTCAAGGTAGTATATGTGAGCAATAAGGAACCCATCACCTGAAAGTACCTCCATTACCATCCTCTACCTACAAAGGCTCTTCTAGACAAATTAAAATTGAGAAATGGAAAAACATGCAAGGAAAATATTTTGAAGAGAACCATTCTGTTTAAGTATTCCCATTTTCCTCCTTTGGAAATATTGTAATGAGTCAGCAGGTACTTACCACCAAAATGACTTTGCATCATGAATTTGAAAACTGTTTAATGTTTAAACGGAAGACTCGAGAATAGATGAGGACATGCAAACGATGCAGACTAGAAAACTGCAAGTCCCATCTGACCCGGTTTAAGCATTACAGTATATGAAGCTGCCATGACACAGGAATGCCAGTGGAAGGAGGCCTTCTGAAGCAAACAGACGATCTGATTTCCTTCCTGCATGGCACCTGGGAACTCTAGGCTAATGCTACTGAGACTTGCCAAGACAAAGGACTTAAAGTGAAGAAAAGAGAACCAGTGAAGCTTCATGGTAAACACACAAAGGATAAGGTGAGAGGTTGTGGAGATGGTCCAGTCATGAGGACCTGAGTTCAATCCCCAGTACCCATGTGAAGAAAAAAGCCAAGTGTGATGGCACATGCCTGTAATCCCATCGATGAGATGGAGCCAAGAAAACCCCTAATAAACCCTTATGTGCCAGGTGTGCTGGCACATGCCTTTAATCCTAACGGAAGTAGGCTGATCTCTGTAAGATCGAGGCCAGACTGGTCTACATAGCAAGTTCTAGGCCAGCTGGGGCTACATAGAGATCCTCTGTTAAAACGACAAAAAAAAAAAAAGAACCCTAATATTTACTGACTAGTCACTAGCCAAGTGAGAAACCCAGTCTCAAAAAAAGAAAAAAAAAGGTTGTCCTTTGGACTACATGCACACAGAGGTAAGAAGAAAGACCTGAAATAGCTCCATTTGCTCAGTTCTGGGACTGGGAATGGAAGTCTTGAGTAATTAGGCTGACAGTTTCTAGAAGGCACAGTGAAATCTCCCAGAGTTCCTTGGAATTTCAAATCTGTGACTACTTGCAATAATCTGAGATTTAAGCGAGGAGGACACTACCAACGAGGTTGAAAAATCTCTGCCAGTTTCAGAGTTAAGAGGAGTGCCAGGCTTGCTGTGTGCACCTAAGAGTGGAAAAGGTGGAAATTTCTGGAGAATGACATAATCTGAACCTAGTGAGGTTCTTTAAGGCACAATGTCCAGCATAAAATGAATTAGAACTATAAGAAACTATGATACTCTAGAGGGAAAAAGGCTATAGATGATCTAGATGTTGGATTTATTTTAAAATAATCATAATTAATTGGTTACAGAAAGAGAAGGGCAGGGCATGCTGGTGACATACATGGAATCTTAGCACCCATAAGACTGAGGCAAGAGAACCGAGCTTGAGGCCAATCTGGGCTTCACAGTGCTTTTCCATGCTACCCTGGACCGCAGAGCAAAATCGTGTTTCAAAAAAACCAAAAGAAAAAGCAAAACTGGAAAAGGAAACAAGAAATTTATGAAAAACAATGGCGAGTTCGAACAGATCTAGAATCTACTTTAGAAAAAAATAATCAAACAGATATCCTAGAAAAGTAAAATATAAATAATTAAGAAAAATAAAAAGGGATTAGTTGGCTCAGTGGTAGAGTGCTTGCTACATGTACACGCATTGTGAGACATTTCCTGGGGAAAGCACAAACAGCTATTTGCCCCACATATGGCATATGGCACTCACAACAGACCAAAAGATTCCACCCAAATCTAGCTTGGTAAGCCAATGAGGTTATTGGGGTTACTAATGGGAACATGGGTGATTCAAAGGCAGCTGCATAACCTAAAGACCTACTCCAGCATGGGCGACAATGCACGAAAGCAAACCTAATCTTGAAAGGTCTAGCCCTAGAGCTCCCTGCACAACCTGCAGTCAGTCCCTCTCCAGCCAAGTGTTTATTGCTTTCACATCCCTGGAGAGTCACTTTATATGAGGCTCCTAACTTTCTGGGCCTCCTGCATCTGGGAGTTTCCTTGCCTTTTTTATTCTTAAGCGCCTCCTTGCTCCTCGGGGAGGGGAGATTTTGTTTGCATTTAGAAGAAATTGCTACAGAACACATAAACACAGACTACGCCTAGTGTTAACAGAAAGAACCTGTGTCACATAGACAAAGCTAGGTTCTGCAACTATCATTTCAGCTCCAATAATCGAGTTATTTCAGTGAGTCTGTCCCAAGATGAATGCAACTAATGCATATGAATAAAAACATGCATTCATGCTAACACACGATGGTGATTAGAGGAAAAGATTCTACACCGTCATCCCTTGAAGGAAAAGACAACAGTTAGTGCGTTCTACATGGATCCCATCGCTGTGGTACAACAGCATTTGACTTTACACAGCTGTACCCAGGGAAAATATCCTGCTTTTCTATCCACATAAATTCGAAGCTTTAGGATTGGCTGAAGCCACCATACCCTTTCCTCTTTAGGAAATTCAGTAAGGCTCCATTGTCTTCCTCTACGGTAATTTTCCTGGTTAGACACCTGCCAGGGTTTGTTTCTGTTTTCATTGCCAAAACATAGTCCAAGACCCTCCTGCACACACAGCTGGGCTACTGGATAAGGAAGTAGCTCTCTGTAGCCATGGATGCTGGCCTCAGGGCCTGAACCTATGTCCAGAAACAAACTATACTGACATTGCCACAGCAGGTGAAAGAAAAACTTTGCTAGCATCATTAATCAAGAACAAAGTGTTTACAAAATATAGATGATATGAGCGACTGATTACCATCTAGTC